AATACCAACTGTCAAGGGATCTTTTACGTGCACTCCAATGTATACACAGGACATTGGTTTTTCGTACCATCCGAATGACTAGACAGATGTCCTTGTCAGACCCCCTGCATCACTGACAAGGGGGAACCACGCCGGAAAATCTGGATGAACTTTCTCGGCCAAAGCATGGATCGAACACCCGACCCCCAGGCTAGCGAGCCAGCGTCTTACCCACTTAATTAATAGAGGACTACTTAAGTTTTGTCATTTCAAAGCGTTTATATAGCTGTATTTTAAACACATAAGTCAAAGCACACAAACCACATAGACCATAACTCTAGAAGTAATTAACAGAAATAATGCAAATATATCTCATACAGATCGGACGATAACTTATTAAGGGAAATTACTGAAATTCAATGCTAATTAATGAAAACAAATTACATTTATCCTGGCTTGTATAGATTCATTGCCTCTTTAAGGTCCTTTAAAGTCCAATATTTAACTTCTAGCAATGATAAACTAACACAAATAATGTACCTTTACAGTTATAACTATTAAACTGTGAGACATGGTCATAATTCTAGAATTAAAACCAAAAAGGCTGAAATTTAATAGGCTTCATTCTTTCACTAATCTTAACAATGCATTTAAACTGTTGTCACTAGGGAACTTGTAACACTTTAAATATGAGAGAGAGAGAGAGAGAGAGAGAGAGAGAGAAATGGGGTTTAACGTCCACTCGACACAAACTAGGTCATTTCGGGACTAACATATGGTTTAATTTTATTTACATAATTTGCTTGCGCGTAGGGGTCTTTAGCAGTGGGAGGAAACCGGAGGACCCGTAGAAAAACCACGAGGTTGGACAGGCGACCCAACTCCTTGCCACGTACAACCGGGGTTCGAAACCACGCCAGTCGACTCAATGACAGACTTTATGATACAGCGCGCGCACGCTAACCATTCAGCCATCCAACCCCCCCTTTAAATATGAATACGGGACATAACTTTATAGAAGTAAATAATGTTAATTTAATAGGATTCTGCATTTCACTGATATTCAACTAGCTAATAATATTAAAGAAAGGTTGCCAGGCAAAGAAGCATACACTCATGTCGTCTGATCAGGCCACAAGGATTGTAGCCTTTTTTTTTCTTTTGTCGGTAATGAAAGAATTTACAAGAGATTAAAAAATTGATTAAGAGTAACAACCAATGAAATAATTTTCAGAAATCATTAGAATTGTCTTGGTTTGTAGTTCTTCCCAATGACTTTTATTATACAAAACATGTAATATAAATTGTACTAGTTTTCGTAAATTGTTGAAAATCATGAGGCGTCTTTGTCTCATGAACATGGACACCTTGTATAAATTTGAAGGCAATAGGATGATAATTTTAACCTCTGGAGCAGTAATTATCGGAAATAGTTGAAAATCAATAGGATTCTTTGTCTTATGACCTTAAATACTTATGGGTCGATGACTTTAGTCTTGTTATGCGTCTATAGCCATAACTTTGACAATAATTATCAGAAAATGTTGAAAATCAATAGGCTTCCTTGTCTCATGACATTAAACACTGTTTCCAAATATAGTAAATTGGTTGATGGCTTTGGTCTCTTCGGTGTCCACAAGATTTTTCAAAGTGATCAAGAGCCATAACTCTGGCAGTAATTATCCAAAAATGTTCATCATATGATGACATTAAACACTGTGTATAAATTTAAAGTCAATCCGATAATTAACTTTAGTCTCTAGACGGACGGACAGACATAGGTGACAACAATATACGAATCCATTTCAATGTTGACGTACTAAAATAATCATGAATGTTATTATGCAGATTACATCTCATATATGTAGTTAATAATCATTGCTGTTATCAACAAATCAGAAGTCTTGACTAATTGAATTCAATGACTTTATAATGAATTTGTGATCAGGTTTTTTACTTGATAAATCAAAGGACCAATTATTAAAAAAGAAAACAGTGAATGAAAACATATCTTTGTGTGCTTTCTTGTAGATTCCACATACTTGCAGGAGAATCGTACCACATGAGAAAACCCAAAGAGGACAAACTCAAAGACGAGACACATCACACATTGTTAAGTAATAAGTGATCAAATTATGTAACAAATCGAGTGAAAAAGAGAAATGTGATTTAATCGCCACTTGACACAAACTAGGTCATTTCCAGACTAACACATGGTTCAATTTTATTTCAATAATTCGCTTGTGACCCTACTCCCTTGTAACGTACAACCAGGGAATCGAAACCACGCCAGTTGACTCAATGACAGACCTTATGATACAGCGCGCACATGTTAACAATTCGGCCATCCCCCCCACCCCTCGAGTGAATGGATATTAGTGCCACTTTTAAAAGCATCCACTGTGCCATACAGTCCCAGACATGCAGAGTTACAGACTTCAATCAAAATGAAAACTAACTCACAAGGGAGACAACTCACAAAAGCAAACAGGAAAAGGAAAGCATTTCCAAAACATTGTATTATTCTAGTGTGTCATGATCGAATGTTTATAAGAAATCTCAAAGTCAATACATTAAGAAAAAAAACAACATTTGTAATAATGATGCAAAATGCAAAGCACAAAACAAGGGGAAACCCTGCTGAAAATTAAAAACACTATAAGTAACAATTAATGGAGCTATGATTGTATCAAATACAAACACAAAACCGAAATCGTTTTTTTTTTAAAAAAAAGTGCACTGAGTAAAGAGAGAAAAATGGGATTTAACATTCACTTGACACAAACTAGGTCATTTCGAGACTGAGAATAGATATGGTTAAATTTTATTTCAACATTTCGCTTGTGCATAGGAGTCTTATTCGCTGTGGGAGGAAATCGGAGGACCCAGATAAAACTGTCATGGTTGGAAAGGCGACTCTACTCCTTGTCTACAAGCTGGGAATCGAAACCACATCCTTTGACTCAATGACAGACCCAGTGATTTCAAATGCACACGTTAAAACACTAAACCACCCACCTGTCTTGTGAAGAAGGACATACGCCATTAAGTGTGCTGCACGGAAGACGTGGAGCTACGGCCTACATGGTATACATGGATATTCCGTTTTTCGTCAAATCTGTCCAATTGGCAAGAAATTTATCCCCACAACACTGACATGGGGAAACCTGACTGGAAAATGTCTGATTCTTTCCGTTTCTGTCATTTGGAACACTGATTTTGAAATCAACAGCTTGCTTATAAAAAACCTAAAACTACTGGTGGATAATTTTACATTACATAATTTGATGTACACAAATCATATCTCTGCCTAGATTCGGCTGAAAATGATAATCGTCACACTTAGTTAAGCTATTCGCTTTCTGAACGTTTAAATTAAGTTTGACCATTCTACCTTAATTTCAAGCAGAGCTGCTGTCTTCCAAAGCAACAACAAGTCAAATTGTTCGGCCACAACAGAAAATGCTCATCACATACATGTGATTGGCCACAAGTAAAATGTCAGGAGATTTTTGTAAAAATGTCAGGAGAATTAAGGTCAAAAGAGGGAGACTTTAATCACGCGTTAAAATTACCCACCCACCATGAATAAAAGACAAATTAATTTACATATTTTAATATCATTTTAATATGCATGTAGGCCTACATAAATAAATTTAAAAACTTTTGATTAGCAGTTTTGGTCATTTGAGGTGCAGTTACATATATATATACTCAATATTAATTAAATGAAACAGTTTACTTTTAATTTGCCTTGATAGCCCATTTACATTACGGTAGCTGTGGTTATTGTCATTTTGGAAAATTTTATTCATATTTTGTGCATAACTTGCAAGTTACTGATCTCGCATGGTATGAATTGTATTGTTGATGATATTTTCAACACCATTCATGTACGATCCTTTACGTGTGCTAAAAAATTCCAACTGCAGACGACATAATGTTGATGTCACGTGGTCTGAATTACCTTGCTGTCCACATTGGTAACATAACCGTAATGAGTTTAAAATCACACATTACAAATTAAAAATGTATGTAAAAAAAGCCCTATTAATTCATCCTGTTCTGAACATTCACAATACTATTTAATTATGTTTCATTGTACAGAAATTGCCATGAATACGAGACTGACGTAAGCGCGCGATGTCAAACTTTCAGTTTTGCAAAGCCGTAGCTTCCGGGGCCCGTAGCTTCCGACTAATTACGTAATTTTATGTCAAACTTAGAGCATTGTGTTGGTCATTGTAAAATTTATTTAACATCGAAAATCATGAATATTACGACCACATTATTAATTTCATATAAAAACAATAATTATCGTGTTATTTAAATGGTATTGTTCCAAATATTAAAACATTGGAAATGTATTCAGACCGTCTTACTAATTATAGAAACAACATTCAACACAACATTTAACAAAAAGTCTGTCTCGTTTTATTTCGATGCTATCTGATTACAATTTTGACTCTCAAAAAATAAAATTACAAGAATTGAAAAAGCGGGAGTATTTGTCTCCCGATCGGGAGCTCGGGAGGTCAGGGGTGAAATCGGGAGACTCCCGCGAATTGCGGGAGGTATCACATGTATGTCATCATTATTATTGTATACCAAAAAGGTGTGCCAGAAAGGCAGACACACAAACCTATTACAATATTCAACATTAATTCAATTAGCCTTAAAATAAAAATAACCCATTTACTCTGTCTATTTACCTCAGAACACTGACACTTCATAAATAATTGCAAAAAAACTGTGTAACTGGCTAACGTAATTCAAATAAGGATTTCTGCCCACTGAATTATCAAGCCAACAGAAGTCTATAACTATAATTTAATATGGCATGCTATGAGAACACTTGTTGTCAAAAATACACAAAAATATACTATATTGCCTTAAGAGTACCACATAGCTACTGATATTTCCATCTGATCTGGATAATAGTTCGTCATCACAGAATTAACTAGTTTTATTCCCCGTATATATGATGGAGCTGCTTTAAATATTTATTTTATTAATCTTACCTTTAAACTATCTATTGAAGAATTGTGACTCAACCGTTCAGACAGACGTGATGAATCAATTAACAAATCATTGTCAGTATGCACTTGAAAATCACTTGATAGTTCATCTTTTGTTATTTCTGTTTCAGGTCTAGTACGACGGCCATATTTTTTACCTCCAAATACTAATTTTGGACTGGCTTGAACTGTAAACAACAATATAAATTATTAAAATCACCATAGAATGCAATGATTATGTATATAATTATTTCCTCAATTAATGCCACTTATTGTCTTTTGGTGATTTTTGAATCTGTTGCAAATTAAAAAATTGTGTAAGTTGATTCTCTCATAAGGAATATCAGTCCAAAATGTTTAAATTTCATTCAGTATTAACATAGATATGATGAACTGAAAATTAACATTCGACATCTGAAATGAAATGGGGTTTAACGCCCTACTGTTCTGCTCCAACTGAGCTAACAATGATGGGCAAATAACATACTGTGTGCTATGATGAAAATTTTGCCCAGAGAGCAACACTACAGCCTTCTTTTATTTTGAATTCCTTTTGCCAAGGGTTCTTTAACGTGCACGGCTGCACGCCATTGTGTACACAGGACCTTGGGTTTTTTTTGTCCCATCAGGGAATCAAAACCATGCCAGTGGACACAATGACAAACCTTATGATACAGCAACGCACATGCTAACCATTTGGCCATCAAACCCCCTTCTAAATCTGGAACATACACTGGATATATATATATAATTTTAAAGACACATATTATGAACTTACTTAAACCAGGCGATAAATTCCCCGAGTGATTATCTTTTAAAACATGATCAGTTTTTTCATAATTTTCTTTTAGTAAATCTAAAAACACTTCCTTAAATTCTTTAAAATAAACCTAAAAAAACAAAAACAAAACTACAACAATACAAAGCAAATAGTCTATGAATTTTCTATGATATAAAATGCTCCCACAGAAAAAACAGGTAAAGAAAATTTGTCATGTATTTTCTTATCCTTGTGTACAGAACGAAGTAACATGTCAGTTAAAAAAAGATTCAAGATTTGATCTGGTATGTGTATAAAAACCATGCACCCTATCTTAGTTCTATTGAAAGGTCCATAAAATCTAAACAATTCTTTTGTAGTAGCTATATGTTTATGTATTGGACAAAGCAAGATTTTTTAGCAAAGGTGTGACAATCCCTTGTCTGGTGATATCTAATTGAATTGATATTTGATGGCTGATTCACCATCTTGGAAGTGGGAACATGGTCATGATATTTATTATTATTCTCAAACAATAATAAGCAATCAAAGGGAGATAAATCAAGTAAGACAATATATAGAGAGAGTAAAATGAGGTTTAATGTCAACTCTACACAAACTAGGTCATTACAGGACTAACATATGGTTCCATAATATTTCAATAATTCACAGGCACGTAGGGGTCTTTAGCAGTGGGATGAAACCGGAGGACCCAGAGAAAGCCCACGAGGTTGGACAGGCAACCCTACTCCTCGTCATGTACAACCAGGCAATCGAAACTCAATGACAGACCTTAGGATACAATGCGTACACGCTAACAATTAAGCCATCCAAGCCCTCTGACTCGATGACAGACAGCGGCGCTATGGCCTACTCTTATATCGAATTCCAACAGCCACAGATTCTTTTACGTGCATGCCAATGTGTGGAAATTAAGAAATACAGATATATAATGTTGCAGATAGCTCTTTCCTAGAGCATTGACATTGTGTTTTGGGCTGAACCGGAAAAAAAGATTTTTCGCTACCACTGGTGTTGATAAAGACTGAAAGCAAAGACTGGAATCAGCTACAATATCTTAGTAGCACCAAGATATCAAGTTGATGGATGCAAAGTCCAAATGATGTCAGCTTAGGTTTGTACTTCAGATTTCTGACATGGCATCATAAAGACATTTTGCACAGCTATTATTCATACTTTTATTAATCTATCAAGAAAACCAAATCTTTTTGGTTGATTTGAAAATTTTTAAGGCTAATCTTTGCACAAAGGCTCTGAAGAACTAAAAATCAGATTGGTTAGGCCTCAATTATTATTTTCAGGCGTGCTATAGTATTTAGTGAAAATATTAACAAACCTTGTCCTGTGTCTGTGTATGAAGTCTATTCAACAATGAATCCTTTCTTTCATGTAACTGAAGTTTGTCGCATAGTGTACATAATTCTTTTTCCTCCAGATAACCCTTTGTGTGTTCATCACAGCTTATAAATACTTCTTTTAGTTGATCAATATAAACGTCATAACTTAGTTCATCTTCAGCCATAATATATTTACACTACTGAAAAATACAATAATACAATGTAAAATTGTCAAAAAAATAATGTCAGGTACTATTTCATTAGTGCCTGATATTTTGTCAGGAACATGTAAAACCGTTATTTCCAGGCCTGCAAATGTACATATTCATCCGCCTGACACAATTTTTGGTAACATTCAAAATCATCATCTTGATACAATTTCCTTATCAGCATATGGAGTTATCCCTCAGTGTATATGTAGCATACACTCTTAACCCCTTTTCTCTCTCTACCTTGAGGTTCTTTTCAGACCATATTAAAATTGAAACTTGTGATGTTCTCGTCCTGACATTTATTAATTCTAAAACACAACTACCACAAACGCCAACATATGTTCCAGAATTACAAGAGCACCACAAGCCTGTTTCAGAACAAAATAATCACTTTCAATAATACTGATTAGATACAGGTATACACACCAATCTGAATGAATTCTATATCAAAACAAAAACACAATTGTCAATTACCAAACTAGAGTTACTTCCCTTGACCTTTTGAAATCTCAATTATGTATTGATTAATATATGTTGTCATAAATTGTTTGAATGAACATAATAGATTTGTACAAACTCACCAGAACACTACCAAACTACACACAAAAATACAAATTTAAACAATAAAGGTCGGCTACTGTAGGCCTACACAGATCTGACTGGCCTCTACAGCTACAGGCACCTGTCATATTGATATGATTAAGCAACAATATAAATCATTGTAAATCAATCAATAATTAATCATTTTATGACTCACAGCAATGACGCTATCACACTGATCAAAATAAATCTATTTATTTACAAATTATTTCTATATCAAATTAAAAGATCACAAAAAAAAAGTAGCCTATATAACTGCCTACATTTATTTACAAATGATCTCTATACTCTATATCAAAATACAAGATTGAACAAAAGACCTATTTATACAAATGCCTACCATATATCAATGACTCTACTATCACAAAGATCAAAATAATGAGAGAGACAGAGACAGAGAGACAGAGAGAGTGGGGTTTAACATCCACTCGACACAAACCAGGTAATTTCAGGACTAACACATGGTTCAATTTTATTTCAATAATTCGCTTACGTGAAGTGGTCTCTAGCAGTTGGAGGAAACTGGAGGACCCCTAGAAAACCCACGAGGTTGAACAGGCAATCCTACTCCTTGTCATACAACTGAGGAATCAAAACGACTCCTTGACACAATGACAGACCTTTACCGGTACCTTATGATACAGTGTGCACGCGCTAATCATTCGGCCATCCAACACACACACACACCCCCCCCCCCCCGATCAAAATAAAACTATTTATCTATAAATTTCTATATCACAAAATGCCTACCATATAGTGAGAATTTTTAATTTTAAGGCATCTACAATATTTAACAAAAATATAATCCTTTTATCACTTTTTATACTAACTTATAACTCATTAATTTAGATTTCATCATTACTTCGGTTATTAATCCATGCCCACACACTTGATTTTTGTAACAACAGAAATCAATAATTCAAATGCTGTTTATAATGGGGACAATAACAGACTCACTTCAATATGCAAGTATTCTAAACATTTAGAGCACAGCAGCATATAAATTGCCTTTCATAAACAGGAACCGAGTTTTAATTCTCAACCAAAAAAATTGAGTCATTTTGAGACTAACACAGACCCATATAGGCCTACTATAGTAACATTCACTTCACTATGGGAGTGAGAAATAGGGATTAAAGTAGTAATTAGTCTTATTGGTCAATTTAAATCAACAATGTCAATGATGTTGTTCTCTAAACGAGAAAAGATGGGCTTCTGTCTTTTTTTTTAGTCTTTTGTCCACAGGAAATTTTAGCAGAATAACTGATAAAAGGTACAGATAAGGTAGCCTAATATACTTCAACAATCTGATCATAATACGTAACCCACATTTCAAAGTGTCAACCTGTCATTATTTCCTAAAATAATTGTCTTTTTGTGGCTGTTCTTTATTCTTCTTCCCTGTAACCTAACCACAGCTGATCGGTGCTCACCACCCTTCACCAATCGATACTCTCGATCTACCCAGACATTTCATAAACGCTAATTCGAGTCACTACATATTTGGGTTTACGCTCTATTTAAAAGAGCAGCCATTTATACCCCTATAGCTGCAAAACCTCGTGAGTTCAGGCTATGTTTTCTCTTTCTTGGCGATATATTATGCTACCACTGCTTATCTGAAGCTCCCACCCGATTTCTACAATTCAAATAACCTAAAAATAATGTCCTTTAAAATGTATTTTGATGCAAAATGAAATATTATATTAACGCGTCTTACTTATTATTCTAGCACAAAGTTATTACATTACTGTAAACATACTAAAAGCAAAATAGGGTTAGGAGGCTGAATGTTGGACAATTCGGGAGGCTGAATGTTGGACAATTCGGTCAGTAGACATTTCGGCCTAGGATATTTCGTCTTTGGAATTTTCGTTTCGCCACTTTTTTTTTAAAAAAAAGAGGACGTTTCGGCCAGATTTATTTGTTTGTTTTCTTCTACAGATATTTTTTTTGCTGTGTATTTTTTTTGTGTGTGTGTGGGGGGGGGGGGGGTGTTTACTGCACCAAGTACATTTTATTTTTTAAAAAAAAGTCTGAACTCGTTGTCATCTTTGTACATGTTTGTAAGTCCTAGTTACTGGATGTGTCTCCAAGTTGATTTAGCGAGGTGATAACAACAACAGTACTGAATCTGTACTAGTGGTCCATACACTGCATGAAGAGCAAGATTACAGAGCGTTCAAAGTCTATTATATCAATTGATGGGTCACAACCATGTTCCTCTAAGTTACCCGAGTCTTTACAAAAACTCCTGATACATGACTCTGGATGGCATGCAACTGCATAAAATTACTGAGTGCCACTGCGTAGTTATCGTCCATGCACCAAACATCGGAATCTGCAAGTTTATGGTCGTGGTGTTCCCTTTAAATGCTTTAAAAACTTACTTTACTCACTTTTAAAACATTTTTTTTTTTCATAAAAATAATAATAAAAATTTGTAAAATTGGACGAAAAATCCGTTGGCCGCAACGTCCTAGACCGAAATTTTCACTGGCCAAAACGTCTCAGGCCGAAATGTCTACTGGCCGAAACGTCCGTCCACCTCGGAGGCTAACTGTGAACTGTGCAATGTTAAACACCATGAAAGCTTTAACTACATGTACCTTGCATTTTCTAATTTTCTAGTTATATACTCTTTATATACTCTTCAAAAAAGTAGAATCAATACAAAACTGTGGAAATGTTCTGCTGTTTTCATTAGAGGTAACCAGTGTATGTTAATAACAGGTCAATTGCCTACACATGAACATAAACAGTTCATATGCACTATATGGGCGGCTTATCGAACGGCCCCATTTCACTCGCAAAGAGATACACTGTCAAAAGTGAAAATGGACGTTTTTGATTTTTGTCTTAATAATGAGTAATTGCTCCACCAATCCTCAGACATTTCGGCAATTCGTCGTGGCATGCCCCTAATCAACCGTCCAATCACGATTTGGGGCAATCAGACCCACTCCTCTTTCAGTGCCACGGCCAATTCTTGCAGTGTTGTCGGCTGACGTTGCCGTCGACGAACACGTCTCCCGATCATGTCCCAGACATGCTCTATAGAGGAAAGGTCAGGACCCCTGGCTGACCAAATCATATAGACAATATGGTGACGCTAGAGGTAGTCATTCACGACACGAGCGAGGTGGGCACGGGCATTATCATCTTGAAATGAAATGAAATGAAATGGGGTTTAACGTCCTACTATTTTGCTCTGAACTGGGCTAATGAAGACGGGTATCATCTTGAAAGATGAAACATCGACCTGCACGTTGAGCAAAGGACAGAACTATCGGTGCCAGGATGTGGTCACGGTAGTGCACACCAGTGACCCTTCCTTCAAAAATATGCAAGTCCGTTCTGCCAGTCATGGTGATTCCCCCCCCCCCCCACACACACACACCATAAGAGACCCACGCCCGAATCTGTCATGCTGTCTGACGTTAACGTTAGCATGACGCTCATTTGGACTCTTCTGAGAACATTACACGAGCCCATCGACGATTACCCCAATTCCTACGCTGCCTACACTATTGACGCCTGTTTGCCATGTGCTGGCGAGTTAACGGAGGCACAACACGCGCTCGTCGTGCATGCAAATGGGCTGCATACAGCCAATTTCAAATTGTTTGGGGTGTAACTCGATTTACTGTAACTTGGTACAAGTTTACAGAAAGCTGATTGGCCGCATGTCCTCGATTTCGCAGGACTTGTGTACGAATGTATTGATACTGGGCTTAGGACGACCTGAACAAGGTCTATCATCAACATTGTGTGTTTGTTGGTACCGGTTCCACAGTCTGCTGACACATTAAGCGTGTTGGCTACTGCTCGCTGTGTAGAACCCATTTGAAGCATGCCAATAGCACGTAGACGTTCATCATGTTAAAGACGTCTCATTGCAAATTAGACGTAACACACTGAAGCAACGAAACGTTAAACAGTAAACCTTATGCAAGAACTGATAGGAAAGCAAACATGATAGGATAAACCAGCACGCGACAGTTTTCATCAACCCTGTCGCACGTGTAGCTCAGTGGTTCTGTTGTGACGATAAGTTCTTCATCTGTGAACATACTCTCAAAGCATGTCAAGTGTCCATGACTATTTATTATATCATAACCTGCGTAGGTATTTGCATTTCAATATCCCCTACTTTTTTTGAAACATACTAAAGATCTGAGAGAACCAATCACCAACAAGAGCGGGGTTTTTTTTCGGTCCAACTATTCACCCTGTTTTTCCTTGTCAGGTCACTTTCTGCAATATTTTTGGCGTTATTGACAAAAAATGCGCACTTGTCGGTGATTGGTAGGACCCGATCACTACTCACAAAATATCGACTTAACATCGATAGATGAATAAGGCCACATTTCACCAACTTCTGTTTTTGTGGTTTCTATTTACACTATCTCAAAGTTAGCTGGATTCATGAAGATATTGAGGAGAATAGCAAATTGGAGTGCAAATATGAGCGTCTGTAACAAAACTAGCTTTCAAATACCAAAAATCCAAGAGAAATGGTATAGGCTGACTGCCCTTCAAAATTCAACATTATACGCGGATTCGATGGACATCTAATGATAGGCCTAAAAAAATAACCTCTGCATGGTGGCAAAACGTTTTTTTTTAATTATTATTATTATTTTAGACGAGGAACTGGGACCCAAGCGAAACACATCTTGTTGTTCTTCTAGTTCTTCTTTTTCCTCCCTTTCTTCGTACGGGTGGGGGTTGGATGACCGAATGGTTAGCACGTGCGTGCTGTATCATAAGGCCTGCCAACGGTCAACTGGCGTGGTTTCGAATTCCCGGTTGTACGTGACAAGGAGTAGGGTCGCCTGTCCAACCTCGTGGGTTTTCTCCGCCCCAATGGCGGACTGATTACCACTCGGCATCGTATTCTACGCAAAACTTTACTCTAGAAAAGTTGGGTCTGGTTTTGTGCCCATTTGATGGACACCCCCCCCCCCCACACTCCCGCGCTGAGCCTCCGGTTTATTTGTTGCCAGTGTTGGTGTACAGGACAATGTGACGATTTCGTGTACGGAGAGGGGTTCACTAGTCCGCTGCTACACTACCGCGCTGAGCCTCCGGTTTATTTGTTGCCAGTGTTGGTGTACAGGACAATGTGACGATTTCGTGTACGGAGAGGGGTTCACTATACGAAATACTATAAATATGGATATCAAAAAACCTAATTCGAACACTAACCCTTACCCTAATAATAGATATCGGTAAACCTATAAACCCGCGGACTAGCACATCTTAACCCTAACCCCAACCCAACCCCTAATAATAGATATCGGTGGACTAATCAGTCCGCGGACTAGTGAACCCGCTGACTAGTGAGCATTCACCGTGTACGGGACACGCCCTGCTTGATCCAGAAGCGAACTATAACGGAGGGGCCCGGTAGCCCCCTTTGACTCCAGCGTATTAGGACCCTGTCTTTGTCCAGTCGAGAGGCACACGGATCTTTAAACATATTTCTCCTAAACATACTTTAATGCAGCATTTACAATTGAAATAATTTTCCATTGAATCTCTAGAAGCCTTCATTTTGGCGTAGACGATTTTTCTTTTTTTTTAAACTTTGTTTCCAGGGAGTGGGTGTTATCAGTTGAAGAACCACTGTCCATATATCGAAAGTACTTTTTATTGTGCAAAACCAAAATGCCTTTTGGTCGGTAAATGTGGTGAATTCAGATAAACCTCGCCAAAGAAACTCTGTGGTTTGGTTGCCCATCCCATATTGGCAGTTGGAATTCGATAAAAGAGTAGGCCGTATCACCGTTGTCGGCTGTCCGGGTATCAATGAGTGTAATGGTTGCATCGGTTTTTACCTTGGATGCCGTGGTTGATCTCGAGCGCTGGACGTGGAATATGTGAAATTAGACGGTCTTCACATGTGTAACACTGTCTGCTGAACGACACCTAAAATAATGGGTAGCAATGTCCTTCGTCAATCTTTTGCTTCACGTTGTGTTTTAAAATGGACTTGAAATCAGACTTTTCCACGGACTCAATGTTACGTAAATATTCCATCACTATGACTTAGGTGACCGTGGTTGTTCGGGGAGTAAGAGGTTAGCTCGCTGGCTCGTTAACATGGAGGTCCTGTGTTCATGCCGGTGATGGCCGAAAAAGTTCATCGGAATTTTCCGGCGTATTCCCCTTGCCAGTTGTGTTGTACAGAGAGCATGCTAACGAATGGGACGAAATCCCGAGGTCACGTGTACACATTGGCACGATACATCTCAAATGCAACATTTTATAACAGTTATAATACATGTATAACAAAAATAAAACATATTTAGAACTACTATACGGACACAGATCACCAAACAAGGGCCAAAGCTATTTTTAGTCTTCCTCTCCCTTTTCCTTTTCCCCCTTTTGCATGGTGATTTTTGTTGACATTTTGGTGTAGAATCG